TTAAGAACCTCTGACCAGTACTGGCTCTCTGTTTCGTCCTGCTGTTTCAATTCATTGTCAATTTTACCCTCCCCTGCTGTTCTTGTAATCCATACAAGCATGCATTTGCGATGCGACTCGAATCCCTCATGCTCTACAATTCGATTATTTGAATGCTTCCAATCGTTAGCCATCCATACTTCCAAATTTTGAATGGGCGTTCTTGTCACTTCCACCAAACAGTCAGTACACAAAACAACACGCAGCTCCCTTAGATGGGGAATAGAGCAGCCAATCTCGTTGCACATTTTCACCATTTACTAGTCTGTGATTAAAAAGACTTTTTGAAAATCTTCTCTTTTGATTTTTATATTGTTGTTCTGACGCAGAAAACGCAGCTGTCATATTTTGACAAAACTGTGGTCCTCTATCAGCCTAGTACTCCCGAACCTTGTCGTTGATCTCTCCCAAAGTTCCAGGATCAGTGCTTGTCTAAGCTGGGATATCAACGGCGTGCAGGGCAGGTGAGGAAGCCGGTGCAAGGGCTATGGTTTCGGGTTGATCTGCAGAAGGCTGTCCCAGTTCGTTATTTTTAGCATCTACCTTGACTGAAATGTTATTTCCTTTCTTAGTCTCAATAGCTCCAGCAGCAGTTAAAGTCAGTGTTTCTTCTTTCTGGTGATCTAGTCAGGATAAGCATGCAGAAAATTGACACATTAGCTGTTAGAACACTAACCTGTCAACATGGCTTGCTAATCGTGAATATAAGGGGGGGCGATGACCAAAATGTTATATCACGATATGAGTCATTTTATTTCACAATAATGATGTGTGTATATATATATATATATATATAACAGTCTGGTTATTTTTTATTTAAATAAGATTATTATATCAAAATATTTGATGTCACTGAGATTTGATAATTCTTGTCACCAATTTTAATATCACAAAAAATAATACTAGTCTAAGAAGGAAACAAACTCCTGCTTCCTGAAGACAAGTAAACAGTCATGAATTACAATTGAACAAAAGACAAAACCTACTTGGAAAAACTTAAAGCACTGAATTAGGCTTGCTGCGGTAGTCGGTGTTACCGGAGTTATCCAGTCTTCAGCCGTACACCGAATACATTACTGCGGTACCGCCCCCCACTGTAGTTTTGCTTTTTTTATAATAGAAATAAAAGCCATTTAGTTCAGTTGGACAACAGATGCTACAAGTGTAAACTGAACGCATCTGTTCTGCTCCATACAGTGTGTGCTGCAGAGCAGCTGTACAGTGCAGCAGGAGTCAGATTTTACTCATCACATGAAGAGAGAGTGAAAATGATGCGAATACTGAGGAAACTGTGATGGACGGAGGATTTGGTTTTCAAGTGAAATGTCAAGTCAAGTCAAGTCAATTCTGCTTTATTGTCAATTCTTCCACATGTACAGCACATACACACAGAACTTTCTCCAACAACAAAGGTGTGCACTACAGCCCCGGAAGTTGTTTTCTTTGATTTTATTTTGTCCCTGGAGGCTTGCATGTTTTCCCTTACTGCCTCATCTACTTGGTCCTGCAGCTGTATGGCAGGCTTGATTAGCTCTGCCTGCAGCACATCTTCCACAGTTTCATTGACCTAGGTGACAAAAGACATTTGAAAATTTCAAATTTTCAAAATATTGAAACAAGTCATAAATATGATTACAAAATATCAGAAAGGAAATCTATGAATAAAAACTCACACTGAAAGATACAGGAACCTGTGAAAAATAGCGTGCCTCCCTTCCAAACATCAGAAAATTTTTTGAGAATTTAGTAGTGAGCTGTTTTTTGGTCCTTATGTTGTATTTGTCCCATGACTCTGGCTTATCCTGACAGTTTTCCAAGGGCGCAAAAAAAAAAAAAGGAGTACATTAACAGTAGACAATAACTGCATTTTTGTCTGTGATGTTCTGTACTGTTTTCTGCAATGCAGTGTGTAACTGAATCAAAATACTGCTTTATTAAAGTTACTTTAGTTACTTTAGTGTACTATGCTTAATGTGTATGCCTAGTAGTTATGCCTATTATGTATTGACACTTTTCTCAACCATTAATGATACTAAATTGTGTAGCACATACAGTCATTGCCATGCCACAGTCATCATGTTTAAATGATAAGCTTGCATCATGACAATGGGATTGACATATTTAAACCAGGTTATTGCCCACCCCTTAAGCGAATGTGTATGTGTGTGTGTGTGTATGTATATATATATATGTATATGTACAGTATATAACTTTTATTAGTCCTCATTTGTAAGTTGCTTTGGATAAAAGTGTCTGCTAAATGACTAAATGTAAATGTATATATATGTAACGGAGGCCAGCGAGTACTGTTATAAACATGAGCCGCGTCCAAAAGGTAAATGGGGAGGTGTTGCTTCAATTTATAACAATGTTTTCAGTATTTCTCAGAGGTTAAAAGCGCTATATAAATAAAGGTGACTTGACTTGACTTGACTCTGGGTGTGTTTTCACGGTGTGTGTGTGTGTGTGTTCTGGTATCAGACCTGCCAACCTGTACGCATTTTGCGTAGCAGATACGCATTTTGACCTCAAAGTACGCTGGTACAATTTGTCACTCTAAACTACGCAAAAAAACCTGGTGACGCCTCTGTCCACGTGCAGTATTCAAAACAAGCAACAGAAAAAGATGAAGAGTTCAACCAATCAGAGCGTTTTTTTAGGTTTTGCTTTAAAATTTCCATGCATTTTATTTCTCTCCAAGCTGGTTTTGTTTGTGTGTCCGTGAGTCTGCGCGCTGAGATGAGAAAACACCTGCATCTGAAAGCAACACACGCCGAGCGTCTTCCCTTGTAATGACTAAACCTTTTGTCCAACAACAAAAAATAACATTATTTTAAACATTTGTCTGATGTTGTGCAGTAAAAGAATGTTATAATTTCCTTCTTAATCTGATGTGGCTTCTTATCACAGAATGATGCAGAAATATATTTTACACTGGAATAACGGCTAAGTCGATTAGCAGTGGATTATAAATATAACGTTACTTAATTGTTCTATTTCTTCTATAATGTATATGTGGATTTTCTGCGCGAGGGCGCCCTCAGGCGTCCAGTGTGAATGAAACACACATTACATGTGTTCATAGCACTAAATAATGGCTAATCCATAAAAATAATACTTCTTTTTTTTAAATTGCATTTAAAAATAGCAAAAAAGAACTAAACCAAAAACTGTGGTAAAACAAACTGAGGTATTTATTGAACCGTGGGCTAACTGTATTGTTGCATCCCTACTGTTTACTCTGAAACCCTGACCCTGATTATTAACCTATAAAAAAAATATATATATTTAATATTAAATCTTGCAACCCCCCATGTATAATGACATGGGTACTACAACGTAAACATGGTTCACTTCCTCTGTCCCCGTAAACCAAAAGGCTTAATACTAAACTGTTTTTTGAAATTCAAAATTTGCCAATAGCTTCCTGTGAGGGCTAAGTTTAGGTGTAGGTTTGGTGTAGGGCGACAGAAAATACAGTATAAAAACCATTAAGCCTATGGAGAGTCCCCGTAAACCACAAATGCAAGTGTGTGTGTGTGTGTGCACTTGGATGGGTGAAATGCAGAGCACAAATTCTGAGTACGGGACACCACACTTGGCTGCACGTCACGTCGTCACTATCATCAGCTTTAGTAAAATAACCTGATAGCTTAGGGTAACTCATGTTTCCTTTGCTGTTTGTCTTTTACATTTTTTACTTTTTTGAGCCCCACTCTCATTTTTTTTATTTTTTAGAATAGATGACATTTTTACCTACTGAAGACTTCTTTGCATGGCCTTTTCCAGATTAGACTAGAACGAAGTTAAGACTGAAGAGTGATTGGTGGATGCGGACATCCTAACAATGTGCAGCGATCACCTGATAGGCCCATGTGCAGGTCATTGAAAAGTTAAATACAGAATAAATGTGAATTTGAATTTGGTAAACCAAATTCAAATGTGACGTTTCAATTACTAATGAAAATGCATGGAATTTAGCGCCACTAAATAACAGTGCTAATAAGCTACCGATGGCCAGTCAGTCTGCTCCACAGCCAACCATGGGCCAACTCCTTGCTCGGGCCCTGGGGCCTCTGCCCCGCCTAACCCTATTGTTAATGCCACCCTGAGCATGACATTTAATATTATATATTATCACAGTTCAGTTCATAGTTTTTGTATAAACACAGTGTAAGAAATTATTATAAAGTGAATGATTATTTAAAGTGAATTTGATAATGATAAATGTATATTTGATTTGTTGCATACAGTAATTTAAAGGATTCACTTTAATCTCTCTGTTTTAGTTCAGTTCATCAGAAGAGATCAGAAGCAGAGTCCAGCTGTGTGTCTGTGAGGAGTGACGGGTCTATGATTCATCCAATAATGTTTAAGAGTGGAGATTCATGGCCTGATCTCAGGTATAACATTTCTGTAAGAGATATGATCTGAACATGTTACACAACATATATAAATATATAAGACATTGTGCTTATTAACACATGTAATATATCATTTTTATTTTACAGGCATGAAGTCCTCAACACGTTTAGATCAAATCTGCTGAAGAAGTTTGAGTGTCTGTATGAGGGAACGACGCAGGGAAACCCAACACTGCTGAATGAGATCTACACAGAGCTCTACATCACAGAGAGTGAGAGTGGAGAGATCAGTAATGAGCATGAGGTGAGACAGATTGAGACACAATCCAGGAGAGCAGCAACAGAGGACACAGCCATCAAATGCAGTGACATCTTTAGAGCTTTACCTGGACAAGACAAAGCCATCAGAACTGTGCTGACAAAGGGAGTCGCTGGCATTGGAAAAACAGTCTCTGTGCAGAAGTTCATCCTGGACTGGGCAGAAGGGAAAGAGAATCAGGACGTCCAGCTCATATTTCCACTTCCTTTCAGAGAAATCAACCTGATGAAGGACAAAACACTCAGTCTTTCAGAACTTCTTCATGTCTTTTTCCCTGAAACTAAAGAAATGGAGATATCCAGTGATGAATATAAAGTGTTGTTCATCTTTGATGGTCTGGATGAGTGTCGTCTGTCTCTGAACTTTAAGAG